TAACGTTCCCAAAATGGATAGAATACATTAGTGTAGGCTTATCACCAATGCCAAGGCCAGTTCCTACTCTTGGTTTCACCTGGTTGGATTTCATTGTCTCAAGTGAGACATGCATGGGAGTATCTAAGGCTCTGTAAGACATTTAAGCAGGGGCCTAACTTAAAGCACATGAATGGTCCCATAACAGGATAGTGGAGATCCAAGTTCACATCTCTGCTCCACATCAGGCAGGGTGGGATTTGAACAAGGATCTCCTATATTGAATGGGAGTTCCCTAACTACTGGGCTGTTGGATACAAAGGAGAGAGGGTCACCAGCTCTTTCACAAGAACTAAGGGTCACCAAATTAAATTAAGAGATAGCAGGTTTAAAACAAACAAAAGGAAGTATTTCTTCACACTACACACACAGTCAACCTATGGAACTCTTTGCCAGAGGATGTTGTAAAGACCAAGACTATAACGAGATTCAAAAAAGAACTAGATAAATTCATGGAGGATAGGTCCATCAATGGCTATTAGGCAGGATGGGCAGGGATGGTGTCCCTAGCCTCTGTTTGCCAGAAGCTGGGAATGGGCAACAGGGGCTGGACCACTTGATGATTACCTATTCTGTTCATTCCTTTTGGGGCACCTGGCATTGGCCACTGTCCGAAGGCAGGATACAGGGCTAGATGGACCTTTGGTCTGACCCAGTATGACTGTTTTTATGTTCCTATGTTCTCTGTCTAAGTATCATAACACCCAAGTCCCCCTTGTGCGTCGAGTCCTGGGAGCATTCTCGCTGGCTCTCAGTGATGTAACAGGTGTACCCCCAATGCTCCATAACGGATCAGGTCTGAGATTGCTCAGTACAGTGCTATAGCAATTCCATTTCGTAATGCCATCAAGATACCCCCCGCTTTGCCTTGAGAATGGTGACTGTATTGCTTGAAGAGTTGAACGCACGCAGCTGCTGGCCTCACGCCACAGTTATTACCCCACGTGCATGCAGCAATAACCACTCAGGAATGCTCCGCCTCTCATTGTCCTATTGTTAAAGTACAATGGAAATTGCTGCTTAGGGGAAAACATATGGTCTGATGCGTCAAGCAATCTTTGGTGATTGGCCATATGGCACGGGACATTTATGGCCTTTACACACATTCCTTTGATGTTATCATTGAAATCACGTCTTTCCCCCTCCCCCCCGCCTTTTAGGGTCCGTTTTACAAGGTGTTGTTCCCGGTTTGCTGCGCAACAAAGTGAGCGGGACTTAGGAGCGCCCTAGAACACAGCTGCCATCTCCTCCGCCCCCTTCGACGTGGCTCCGACTTGACACCCGGGAGGTGCAAGCACACCATAGCTACTGCTGCAGCCCTGGCAGGACTAAAAAGTCAGACAGACTCCCTACGTCTGCTCTAGGGCTGCAGGGGGAAATGAGTGAGGAGAGATTTTCCACTCTATAGCCAGAGGCCCGTCTTACGGGAAATTTCAGTCAGTAAAAGCAAAATGTTACTGGAATGCCGCCTTCCCTGGGCTTGAATGGAATTATTTTATTATTATTAGATTTGGAGAAACAGGTGTGACAAATTCATCACTTCCCCCGGGGGCTTGTTCAGACGCTGCGGACTGTGCAGATTGTGTCAGATGCGAATGGGCTTCTGTCTGGCAACGTTACCTGCAGACGGTACCTGTTTCTAATTAGCTGCGTGTGATTTCCCCACCCCAGGCTGGGAATTAGCAGCCCAGAGGGAAACCATTTGATACTCTCCGCTAGATAATCCCTCCTTTGCTCAAAGGTCTTGGCTCAGTAGTTGAGTGAGTGAGACTCCTCTCCGTCATAAACGGGATAGTGATGAAGGGTGGGGGGGACCCCAATGCTTTGTGAGTGGCACTGTGCAGCCTACTCTCCCCCTCCAGTGTGGGAGGCTAACAATAGGTCCTCTCCTGCCCTGCGGGGTGAATTCCATTGAATGGCATTGAGCACCTGTAAAAACAAAACGACCTGTGTTCCTTTAGGTGATGTGGTCACACACGTTTCGTTCAGCACTACACCTCAGCTAGCAGACTTCCTCCCTCTCTGCTCCAGTTCCCGCCACATTCCCCCAGATCCCAGCCACTCAGGCTGAGTACCATGGGATGGATTTTAACCCTGACTGTATTGACATTGTGTTCTCATTGGGACAAGGAGCTTATACTGATATGTGACTGCAGCACAATTAATTTCACTACTAGCTTGTATGTGACTCAGTGGGCATTTCTGGGAGTAGGAGCTGGTTTAAATGAACCCCTGTCTTGCTTAGTCCTGTAGCAGCAAGTCGTTTTCTGAATAATAAGCTCCTGACTACTAGGGAAGCATGTTAAGGCTGATGGTCCTTGACTTAAGAAGCAAGGTGGACTAAGGCAAGGTGTCTCTCCTGTTAAGAATTGCTTGTTTAAAGGGACAGGGTCAGGTTACACAGCTATGGGATAATGAGTAGGGTATGGTGGTTTGGGTTTGACTCCCTTACACTTGGTGGGTCAAATTCAGAGGTAAGCCAGAGGGCAAAGGGATAAGTTACACAGTGGTAAGCAGGTGTGAGTCTAAGGGTGACTAGAGGGAGTCTAGCTGGTATAACATCCTAACATGCTAAGAGCAGCAGAAGAAGGTGTAGACTTACCCACGTTTGAATGTAGCCCGATGTATTAAACCCTCTCTTCCTCTGTTGTTGTTGCTCACAAAGGTCATGAAAACTGACAGCATGGATTTTCTGAGCTTTGAACATCATGGCGCTCCCTCTGACTACAACCCTCATGCCTGACTGTGGACATACACTGCCTGTGAACTGGCAAGATTCCCCTCATGTTGGGGTGGAGGGAAGGATTCAGGGAGCCAAGCAAAGGGTTTACAAACTCTGCAAGCCACAGCCCCCCTCATCCCTGCACACAGGCAGGTTTGGGGAGGGTTTCAGACCGGCTGGACCTACTGACCCATCATGCTGCCACCGACAATGGGGACAACGCAGCGCGTTGCAGAGGCAGCTGCAGAATGGCTATGCTGCCATTTCACTGTCTGCAGGAATGCTCTTGGCTTCTCTCTGCAAGAGCCCTGCAGAACTCCCTTGTGCACGGCTTATTGGCTTGTGCTGTATGCAGGGTCCTGGATAGGGCCCTTCCTGTCTTACACAGACATATATTTTGTCTCTACTTGCTTTTTCCAAGTTGCTCGATGAAAAGAGAAACTCTACTTCCATTTTTATTTATAATCTGTTTCAAGCCGCTTTCTGCTTCCCATGCACAAAGCACCAGCAAAAGGCCAGGCTGTCTGAGTTGCAGTTGGTATAGGGGAAATTTTCTGTCCCAGCAAGAGACTTTTTATTGAAAATAAGGTTTAAACAAAAATCATACAATGTTGCCGTTAACATTACATCTTGTCAAATGTAAACTTGGCACCTAAACTACCCTGATGGCATTATACCCATAACTTTCCCAATGTGTTCGTTAGGCTAGAATGACCATTTTAGGGTTCTTTGTACCTCCCTCTGGAGCAGCTGATACCAGACACTTTTACAGACAGGATATTGAACTAGATGGATCATTGGCTTGATCCAGTCTGGCAAAATTTGCATTTTCCTATTGATACTGGTGGGAGTTATCACAGTGGGGGACTATATCGGGTCTCTTTATTTTAACCTTTTCATGCTTTACCCTGCAGCTGTGCTCCTTTGCTCACTCAAGAGGAATCTGATTAATTCAGTATATTGAGCGCAATGTCATGGGAGCCTCAAACCTACAGTACAGACTGGATTTAAGCAGAACCTGGAAGTCGACATAAAAGGTCAGGGGTATTTTTTAGATTTGGGGGGGCTGAGATGAACATTGAGGGCCAGAGGCTGATCTTCGTTATGATGATGTAAATCCAGAACAGCTTTATTGACATCAGTGAGTTATGCAGATTTAGACTGCTGCAAATGAGATCAGGGCCTGGCACGCTGTCAGGTCAAAAGGTTGGTACTCCCGACCCTACGAAAGGAAGTGGTTAACATTAAAGCCAACTGTGTCAACAGACTATATTCCACCTGGAGGAAGAAGCGTTCTACATGTGGCTGAGTTTGACATCAGAAATGTGAAGGTGCAGTCTCCTGACGTATTACCAGGAAACATGAGGTGAGATGTAACACGTCAGTGGAATATTATTTTTTCCTTAAGACCACAAATAAGCTGATCATTGAAACACTGGCTCGGAGACTGGGGTTTAGGGAGTATCTCTAATTACAAATGGGCAAAAGACAGCAAGAAACTAGATCTACTAGGAGAAAACCTGTACAATCTGGATGCTTTTCCTAAGCTTTACCAAATTTACCCTAGTCCTCATCATCGTGGAAATCAAGCTGAAAATTGCATGAGATCTGGCTTGCCTCAGAGCTTTCCAGGGCTTCCTGCATCACGTTTGAGTTGCTTCCTTTCCTGGCTAAATCCAAGAGGCACAGTAGTGTTGATGACTGAAAACTGAAAATCTGTACCAAGAACATATTAAATACTCGGATAAAGGGGCCTAATTAAGATTTCTGCAGGTACGGGCAGACGGATATCAGCGTCATACAGGCAGGATGCTATTCTTCAAACACAGGACTCAGCGGATATGCAATGGTATAATCTGAATAATGAGATCAGCTGAGATCTTTTTTACCTCATGCACCATTAAATTAGAAAAATACGGTGCTTAGCACATGTTTCTAGTCCTGGCCAGTCACAAGATGCCATATCTTGAAATGATTAATGGTCCCTTTGAGCAGGTCAAAAATAAACACAGCCAATGACAAGCCATTTACTCGAGAGGCCAAGATGCTTCTCCATCACAAACATCCGCACTAGTTTGCCCAGGCTGGGTGTGGCTGCACACACCCTCGAATGGTGGCATAAAGAGGTGTTGCCCCTTTTGACCTGAGTGGCTAGTGAAAGTCTGGGCCCCTTAGGATGTTCCAACTGGAAGAAGAAATTGGTGATAGTCAGGTATTTCTTTGATGCAGTTTTGTTTATTTATAAAGAAAGTACAAAGTCCTGCTTCTCCAAATGCAGCAGGACCCAAGAACAAAAGGAACAGTTTCTTAGCTTACAACCCCAAGCCTCTTTAGCTGATCGACCCAAATGCTCTCTCTAGTTTTTTCCAGGATCACACTGTATTCAACAGCTACTGCTTGGGTTTCTTGCTTTTTGCCTCCGCTTCTCTCTCTGTTGTGTGTGTTCTGCCCCCTACCCTACTCCCAGTCTCTGTCTCTCACTATTTAGCAAAAGCCCTCCTCCCATTCAGTCCAAATCCCACGGCAGCTTCACAATCCCCTTTTGTCTCAGGTGGGGGGCTTCTGATTAACATCTCATTACAGTTATGCTAATTGAAGGATGCTTCTCCACCCAATCTTGAAGAGGTTTCTGATTGATGCAATCACCGGTACCTCTCAACATTACAAGGTAGTATGCCTCTGGAGGCCAACAGGAATGATGCTTCGACTTGTCCTGGGGGAGCACATTCATCAACAGTCCCATTTAAAAGTCACACGCCCATCCCAATCTGGGCACCAGATGCTCCCCGTTGTGTGGGAAAGTTGCAGTGCAGTAGAATCCTGGCCAAGTCCCGTCCGTGCCAGACACATATGGGTCATGAAGTATTGCTGGCAACACTAGCATCCTTCTACCCTCATGTGCTTGGACTGCAGCTACCCATGTGATGGTGGCCTTCTGCATAGAAATCCAAGGCAGGAAAGACGCTCCCTGTACCTTCTGGGCTTCCACCTATGCATGGACAGCTGTCCTTTTGGCCTCACATTCAGAATGGATTCAAGCTCTGATTGAAGGCTCAGAAACATAGCTTGAGAACAGGCTTCCTCTTGCTCCATAAACTATCCATTGACCACAGCTGACTCCTGCACCCAGCTGCAGCCACTTCAGATTGTCTCCTCTGAAACAAGGCGCAATATCTCACCTGACGTAACCCTTCATCCTGAAGAGAGAGATAAACTGTGGTTTACTGTGTGTTCTGGCTTTTCAGCTGAGACTTTCAAAAGTGAGGTCCTGGCAGTTCTGCATGGAATTTAAAGACTGTAGGGCACTGTGGCAGGCGTGGCACTCTGCCCCACCCCTTTGTGGCAGCGGTGGGATGGGGTGTCGGAACCTCACCACTTCGAAGTTCACACGCCTGTCTCTCTGTGGGCAGCCGGTTGTGGCCTAATGGCCTCCTTCCACACAATCCACTTCACAAGCAGGGTAGTACGGACTAGCCACCTGAGTCCAGGTAACTCGCCCCAAGTGTCAGGGCAGTGTGGCCCAATGGCCAGGGTCCACATAAATCGCTCCCCGCATTGGAGCAATGTGGCCCAATGGCCAGAGTTCACACAATCCCCCTCGCAAGTGGGGTAGTACAGCCTAGCGGACAGAGTCCATAGGATTCCCACAGTGCGGGGGGTGGTAGGGGGACCCGGGCCCACCCTCTCCACTGGGTCCTGACCCAGGGCCCTGGTAGTGGCAAGCTCCCCTTGCCACCAGCTCGCTGGGGATCCGCCTGCGACACACCAAGTGTCTATGCGGCTCTAACACTGTTTGCCTCTAAAGTTCCCCTGGGTCACTTCCTACCATAAATGCCAGGTTCTCCGCTTCGTGGGATCCTCCGGTCTGTTCCCCTCCTGTGACGTCCTCTGTCTGGGCATGAGGGTGCATCCCGGCTCGGCTGGCCCCCCGGATCCTGGCACGCAGGCTGTCCCTCCTTGGGAGCTGGCGGCGTGCCTCCTTCCCCTCCAGCGGTCAGTCCAGACTGAGCAGCTCTGTAGGCTTTTATACCTGTTCTTCAGTTAGAGCATGCCCAGCAGAGCTTACGGGGTGGAGCTTCCTCTGCTAGGAAGGAAGGGTTAACCCCTGCGGTACCAGTGTGAGGCCGATGTTCCCCGTCACAGGCACTTTTAATTGAAATGTTGATCATGCTAGTGCGTGCAAGCAGTTTGCATATTCCCGGACAGGAGTTCCTTCCACACAGCTGTCTGCGTCTCCTGTCTGGGAGCATGCGAGTCGCTTGCACACTGTAGCACAACCAGGGACAGCTGCCATTGAGCCTGGTGCCTGCCCCAAGGGGCTGGGCTCAGGGCAGTGCAGCCATACCGGAGGAGCTATCTGGGCTGGGCGCTGGCTCCTGCGAGCAGTGGCCCAACATATTGCTGATTTTGCCACTGTGGTTCCTGGTAGAGCCCTGCAGCTCCGCGAATATCTGCTTTATATCCATGGATATAAATTTGGCATCTGCTCAGGGCTCTACACCCATGACTCGATCATCAGTACAAAGGAAGGCAGGGGCTGATTTAGGAATTGAGCTCCAAAGTCCCAATCCACTGCTGTAGCTACTAAGCTCTTCTTCCTACTGTCTCAGCTAATTTTCATGTTAATTAAAAAAAAAAGTTTTGACTAATGAAATGAAAAAGCAGGATATTTGAGAACAATGATAATGCTGATGCGTGGGCAGGAAACAATACTTTGAAATTTTCTAAAAAGTCTTACAAAATATTTTGTTGCTTTCCATAGCTGTTGGTTGGGGTGCCTGGGATTTCTTTGGACAGGATGTCCAGGAAGGCTCTCTCAAAGTGGAGAGCTGGCCTGCCTGGGAAAGACGAAACAAAAGGGAAAGAATATTGGAAAGTACCAGAAACTAATTAAAAAAAAAAGTCTTATGGAGGAGCTTTTGGCAAGCGATTTCCCAGGTTGCTGGGTTTTTGGCCTGTGATTTCCCAGGTTGCTGGGTTTTTGGCCTGCACCTGAACCAGATATTACAGTGTTGCATTTCTCCCTGCATAAAAAGAACAGCATGGCATTTCCCGTATTACACAGCCTTGTCTGTTTTCTCTATAGGGCAGAGTGGGATTTTTCCATTCCACATTATCATTCCTAACTGGCTCCAGTGATTTCCCCTGAGCTGCTGAATATACATTCAAGGACATTCCAAAAGCAAAGGAAAGGCGCATAACCTGGATTTGGGGGCTGCCTGCCAATATTTTAAAAGCTGGGTATATGGGTACAGTTCTTGGCCCCTTGCAAGTGGGCGAGGAGGAGTCCCAGTGCAGCTCGGCTGCATGCTTTCATAAAGTTGGAATTTGGGAATTTTGTGCTTGGATAGCTACAAAGTTCTTTCAAGGTCTCTAGCACTTCAGACACTGATCTACATTTCACACTTATCTACAGCTTAATGAAGTTCTTTGACCTGTGCTTAGAAATGCCACTGTTTATTGAACGGAGTGCTAGGGGATAGAAAAGAGCACTCTGGTCTGTGACACCATCTGAGGAGGAAAACAGGGCTAAGGATAGGTCTCCACAGCAACTAGGAACAAGTTTCCCAGCCCAGGTAGCAGAGGCACCGACTTGCCCAGTTCCCGGGGGGGTGCTCGACCCCCGCTCTGCCCCATGCCCCGCCCCCTCCCCACTCCTGCCCTGCCTCTTCCCTCTCCCACCCCACCCCATCCCCGCCCACCCCGTTCTGCCTCATCCCCTCACTTCTTCCTGCCCCTGCTCCTTCCCCTCCCCGCCAGCACCGCCTGTACGCCACTGAATAGCTAATCGCAGTGAGCAGGAGGTGCTGGGAGGGAACGGGAGGAGCTGATCCGCGGGGGCTACCAGTGGATGCTGAGCACCCACCCTTTTTTCCCCATGGGTGCTCCAGCCCCGGAGCACCCAAGGAGTCGGTGCCTATGCCAGGTAGATAGACATGTACTAGTTCTGTTTCACTTGCTAAAAATAGCAGTGTGGAAGCAATGGCATGGGCCCAGCTTGGGATAGCCACCTGAATATGTGCCCAGTGGGGCTGGGCAGGCTTATACTTGGGTGGTTTACCCAAGTCACCCCCTAGGGTGCTGAAGCCACCCTGCTATTTTCAGTGCACTAGCTCTTCAAACTTAGAACAGGAGACAGTGGGGATACTGCAATCATGCTGGAGCGGCCAAGGCTGTCTTTTTAATGAGCCTCCCACAATCCCGCTAATCTCAAATGTATTTAATAATAATTGTTTTGGCCCCCATCCACACAGTCTGAACAGCATGTGCTGGATGGGGGCTGCAGACACATTTGAATCATCTTTAAACATGGTTCCTTGGGGATGGGAGAAAGGGGGACCTTAGAGCCTTCTGAATCAGTCTCATAAATCTCTGAGAGGATCTCATATGGGAACAGACCCACAGGCATATGGCCGCAGTGAGCAAGGTGATATCATCTTGTAACCCAATGCACACTCTTACTTCCTCTTGGATCTAACTGCCATGTGGGGGGACTGATCTCACCCTGCAAGAATCCCAGTTACAAATAGATTTGCACAATGTTGTGACAGACAGTAAGTCATCTCTGAGAATGTTTACCACTGAATTCCACAGGCCAGGATTAGTTCAGCTCCCTTCAGGCATAACTGACCACTTCCCAAAACCCCACATTGCTAAGGAAGATGCTGGCAGCCCATATTATGGGGCAAGAAGAGGGACTCGCTCTTTCTTGAGCATCACTCCAGGGATCAGCCTGGAGGGCCAGAGGACAGCTGAAGAGCTTAATACATCTGACTGTAAGGACCTGTGAGCAAGATCCAACAGCCAGAGCTGCAGCTTCGAAGCAGCGTTCCATCCCCAAAACTGATCCTCTAAGGGGTCTGGCAAACACAGTGGGTAGAGGATGGATGCATTTGAGAAGAGGTGATATTCGGCTTTGCCTATGTTACAAAGTTGTGCCACTTTAACTATAGTGGGATAGTTAAAGTGGCACAATCCCCTAATATGGGAACGGTTCAATTTAGATTGTAAGCTCTTTGGCACAGGGATTGTCTTTTTGGTCTGTGTACAGCACCTAAAACAGTGGGGTGCTTTTTTCATGACTGCAGCTCCTAAGCACTACGGTAATGCTAGTAATAATATTGGTATATTGCTATGGATATTCTCACATCGGAAGGGGAATAATTATAGTGGTATAAGGAACTTTTTAACTGATATAACTGTGTTCACACTAAGGCTTTTTCCAGTATAAATGTCAGTAAAAGAAAAAAAAAACCGGAACAAGCCCCTTCACAGCCAAGAACAGAATTGAGTTCTATCAGCACCCAAGATTGTGTCTCTGCTACAAGACCATCCTTCCTTGCCTGGAGACCCTTAGATTTAAATGTGCTGGGTTAAGCGCAAAGTAGAGATGCTGGTAGGAAAATGTCTGTCAAAACAAAATTGTCATTGAAAAAAGGAAACAGTTTCTGACAAAAATATTTGTAGATTTCACCCCCTTCCCATTTTCCAGTCTGCTCTAATGCAAACGATTATTCTTACTAGTGACCAACAATCAAGTGTAGGTCCCAAACACTCAGACATGGGGTTAACTTTAAGCATGTGAGCAGTTCCAACAGGAAATCCAACTGGCTCCGGGCTGCCACAGGAACCAAGGGGAGCTCAGAAACAAGGGAGAATTGAGCTTATAGTTTTCAAAGGGACCATTATGATCGTCAAGTCTGACCTCCTTCATAACACATGCCATGGAATTTCACTCAGTAACTGTTGCATAGGAGACAACAACCTGTGGCTGAAAATACGACTCTGTACCTTTGTAGTCTTTGCATCTTTGTAATCTGGTTTACCACATTCATCATCATGGTATCTGAGAGCCATGGAAGAATAAAACATTATGGATCTGACAGACTCTTAGTCTGGTGTCCCTGGTGCTTTTTAAACTAACCCTCCCCCTCCCTCCCTGCAACTCATTCTAAGGAAACAGTATCAGGCAACCATGGTGTTTGGGCTTTTCTCAAGTCTCAGATACATTTATCACTTCTTTTTTTTGCTGTCGTTAATGCTGAACTAATTTCTTTGGAAAAAGATGTTGTCATTCCAAGGATAACCATCTCCGTAAATATTTACAGTGAGTGAAAAATATGCCAAAGGTACCAGGAATCTGGCCAGTTGGCAAACGGGGCTTTCCTTGGTCCATCTGGAAGACAAGTATAAACAGATGGAATGCAGATAACAAAACCTATAGTTAAGGTTGCCATTAAAAGACATCATTTTCAGTTGCATGTAACTTTGCCAAATTGTAACTGTATGGGCTGAAATTTTCCATGTCGGGTGTCTGTCTCCAGTGGAATTTTTGGGGAAAGTCTGAAGTAAAACAGTTCAGCTGTTTCTGAGAATGAGATTTGAGGGGGGAAAATAACACTGTTTTGCCCATGCTAAAAATATTCTTTCAATTGTTCCTGGGTTTAGATGCAGTGCAGTAAAAAATGCATGGGGCCACACATTGACTGATGAATCATAAAATCATAGAATCATAGAATATCAGGGTTGGAAGGGACCTCAGGAGGTCATCTAGTCCAACCCCCTGCTCAAAGCAGGACCGATCCCCAATTAAATCATCCCAGCCAGGAATTTGTCAAGCCTGACCTTAAAAACTTCTAAGGAAGGAGATTCCACCACCTCCCTAGGTAACGCATTCCAGTGTCTCACCACCCTCCTAGTCAAAAAGTTTTTCCTAATATCCAACCTAAACCTCCCCCACTGCAACTTGAGACCATTACTCCTTGTTCTGTCATCAGCTACCACTGAGAACAGTCTAGAGCCATCTTCTTTGGATAAAGAGAAATACTCAATAGATACCTGAATGAGGCAGGGGTCTTGTGGTGGGGGAGAACAACTGGATGTGATCACATAAGTAAAGTATTGTAATTTATACGCACAAAGAGGATGCATTGAGGCTGCGTGGGCAACGTTACTTGATTCTGTAGTGCTAAATTCACTTTTTAAAAATAGTGTTCCCGATTCACGAGGATGGTGTGGTGATACAAAGTACTCATATGCCTTATTTTACTGGCCACCTAAGCTAAGTTTAAATTTTTGTTATATCAGAGTGGTACAAAGCAACAAAAGTATACCAGTGGAACTGACTAAGTGAGCTGTAGCTCCCAAAAGCTTATGATCAAATAAATTTGTTAGTCTCTAAGGTGCCACAAGTCCTCCTTTTCTTTGTACGTATTGCCAGTTATGAGCCAGATGCTCAACTGATGTAAATGGGCCTAGTTCCATTGACTTCAGTGGAGTTAGGCCAATTTACATCAGTTGAGGATCTGGTCCTATTTATTGTTTCCTTCTAGGGCCTGATACAGCACTGCGTTATTCGGATGACATGGCGAATCAGATCCCTAACACCTCTACCCTGGTTGTCACAGTTTCTGCCGTCCCTCAGTCCTTGCCTGTCTGAGCTGAAGAAAACCCATGCTGAACTCAAGAATGAAAATACATTTAATTTTACACTACTTCAAACCACTCCCAGGTGGCTTCAGGCTCCCAGTACTTTGTGAAAGATTGAGGCTGATCTTTATTGCTCTGTCATATGCTGTGGAATGGATCTCTTCTGTCTGAAATGGTTCTGCCTTTCTGGGCTGCTGTGAATGCTACCAATGAGATGTAGCAAGACTGAGCTGTCTGAAGCAAACAGAATAGATTCATGTTTACCCCAAATAGACAGTTCAACTGCACAAGCCACCAACACTGGCTTTGGTTTTGGTCCAGTTTTTTCCATCTTGTTTACTGAGTGAAGGCAGCTTGAGGGTCAACTAATTCCACTCTGGTTTCATCTTCACAGCAGAGCTTTGCTCCT